AACATGACCTGTAATGAAGAAAACAGCCTCTGGAAATCAACCAGACCTGACCCAGAATTAGTAGAGTACATTACAGATCGCTACTGTATTCCATACATCCAAAGAGTTAAGTAGTGACAGGGAAGATATTTTAAAAAAAAAAAAGGCCCAAATTCAACTAAAGATGAAAACTAAAATATCTGAGATGACAAATACACTGGATGGGCTTAAGAGCAGATTACTCATTGCAGGAAAAAAGATTAGTGAATTTAAACGCAGAACAATAGAAACTGTCCAAAAGAAACGAGAAAGAATTTAAAAACTGAAAAGAATGTGTGAGTGAGCTGTGAGACAAAAAGATAAAGATGACATTAAATTTCGGATTGAAAAAATGCAAGCAAGAAAACAGTGGAACAACACCTTTTAAAAATTGAAAGAAAAATCTATCAACGTAGACTTCCACAACCCAGCAAAAAATATCTTTTAAAACCAAAGGGGAAATAAAGATGAATTCACACATTCAAAATCTGAAAGAATTTATCACCAGCAGATCTGCACTACAAAAAATAATAATAATAATAATAAATAGTTAAGGTTGTCCTTACCCACTCTGGGACTCCACTTCCTCTCGTGTAAATGAATGTGGCTGGGAGGCAAGTGAGGGGCCATGAAAAGACGGAGTAAATGCTCCACGGGCGCTGGCTCCCATTACACCCAGCGTCAGAGGCACAGAAGTGCCGATGGAAACCGGGGGTGCAAAAGAAATTGTTGGTGAAGGAACAGGAGAGAGAGGAATGAGGAGGGAAGGGAAGGGAAAGGAGAGGAAGGTGAAAGAGCCTGTATTAGTCAGGGTTCTCCAGAGGGACAGGACTAATAGTGTGTGTGTGTGTGTGTGTGTGTAAATGTACTATAGAAGGAACTGGCTCACACAATTACAGGGGCTGGCAGGTCCCAAGATCTGCAGTTGGCAAACCGGAGGCCCAGGAAGAGTTCCAGTATAAAGGCAGGAAAAAACTGATGTCTTAGCTCCAATTTCCTCCCTCGGGGGAGGGTCAGCTATTTTGTGGTATTCAGGCCTTCAACTGATTGGGTGAGGACCACCCATTTTGGAAGGGCAATCTGCTTTACTCAGTCTACCAACTCTTAGTCTTATCTATAAACACCCTCACGGATAGACACACCTAGAATAACTGATCAGGCGTCTGGGTACCCCATGGCCCACCAAGTTGACACAGAAAATGAACCATCATAGGGCCAGAGTTGCGACAGATTTTAAGAGACATTTAAGAGAGAAAAGAAGAGATGCTCTTAGCAAAATGAGAGAACCAAGGAGACCCAAGTAGTGTCTGTGATGCCAGAATAAAGTTCAGACCTCCAGGGAAGATTTTCCTCCCTAACTCCAGGATTCTGGCTCTGCGATGAGGCGCCCAGGGCAACATCTTCATGCTGATTAGGTTTCAGTGTCCCCTGGCATGGCTGCACACTCTCCATTCTCCTCTGAGAGTTGGGGAGGCAGGTGACACACTGGATACAACCAGGTCTCACCCTTCAGTTGGGATTAATGAAGGAAAGCAGATTTCCACCTAAAACCATGCATGTGCTTGGAATGTAGGTGTGGCAATTAATGATGTAGGTTACACTGAGTTACCCGTACAATATACCTGTACCCGACTCGATTAACGTGTCACCAACATGAAGAATCTGGTGTTCTTCTACATCAGGGACTTCATGGCCTCTGGTTGAATGAACAAAGTCTGAGCTAAGAAACCAAGTCTGGTCCCAATTCCAGTGCACCCAGCAGACCCGGGTTTTCTGGCGATGGACACAAGAGGGCCTGTGTTAGCTCACCAAGTAAAAGTCGCCCCTCTGCCCTCTTCCGACCCGCACAGCCCTCTGCCCAGCTGTCTATTTTGGTTGTTTCCTGATTTCTCCCTCGCCCACTGATTTCCTTTAGGATCTGCCCGCTCTTCCTTTCTCACATTCCTGATCTTCAGCTTCCTCCTTAGATCCAGCTGACTCATTCGGCTCATGCAAAAATACAGAATATAATGAGAAATACTGGGATGACTCAATAGCTCCGAAATTCAGGGATCAAAGGCCTTAAGAAGGAAGATACCTCTGATGAAAGTCCTTGATCCATTTCTCTTCTCTGGGTGCAGCCCGCTCCTAAGCCCCATCTCCCCTCTTCCAGGTCCCAGGCAGCTCTTCTGCATTCACAACCGAGAGCATCTGAAAACCCAACCTTTGTGGCCACCCAGCCCCGAGACAGCAGCTGGACGTGAGAGGTCACAGAGAGACCCGTGACCAGAGCCAGCCAGCCCCTTTCTCCAGCACGCATTCTGTCTACACAGTGGCTGATGGCAAGGACTGTGGGTTGACGTCGTCCTGGGTTCAAGTGCCAACCACAGGTGAACTTAACTCNCTCTACGCAGAGGTGACAACACAGTGGCTGATGGCAAGGACTGTGGGTCCACGCGGTCCTGGGTTCAAGTGCCAGCAACCATACTTAACCGCCATGTAGCCAACCACAGGCGAACTAAACTCCCCCAGCCACTGTCTGCTCGTCTGTTAAATGAGGTGGTGATAGTGCTGAACTCCCTGGGCTGTTTGTTATGGGACTTAGGGCGCTCCCGTGGGCGGAGGGCTCGGTGTGGGACAGACTGACAGTGAGCCGGGAAGCTCACCTATAAACTTCAGCTGGTCCTTCATAATAATGCTGATGAGGTGCCTTAGGAACTGAACTCGTTCATACCAATTAGCTTATGGTGAAACGGACTTAGACCTCGTTTCGCTTAAAGTCATGGAACCCATCGATAACATTAAGTGAGGCCTTGCTGTAGCTATAAATACCGTGATGACTGTTTTAAGGACGGAGGCCCCCTACGGACTAAGGAAGACATCCCTCATTCAGGAGCCACTATTTCAGACTCAGCATTTTCTAAGTCAATGACAAAGGCAAACAGGACCTCAGGGGTGGCACTGAGACCAGAGCCCTTCTGGACTTCAGAACTTACTGGGCCGCCAACCACTAATTGAGTCACTAGAGCCTCTGCTGCACAGGCTGGGCTTAGTTCTAGTTGTTTTATTTACCCGAAGGAATAAAATGGCACTTTTTTAATGTTCCTGATGCAGGCTGTCCATTGGCTAGGACAGACTTCCCCCAAATGGGTCTAAATGTGTGAGATTTCATATAAAATCCATGCACGATCCTTAACAGGCATGGATGTTTGGATCTTAGAAGGTAGGATGGGCATATATTCTTAATTTTGTTGTTGTTGTTTCCCCCCTAAGGTAACGCTGGCACATGCAGCGCACCCCCACCCAGGGGTGTAAGCACTGGGTTACAGCACTCAAAGGCACCACTTCTGGCCCCGACTTGCACATCTCAGCACTGTCCCCTGAGTGACCCTGTCTGGCCCTCATGCCCTTCCTCTGAGCACAGGCCAGTACTGGGCATAATTCCTATCACCAGGGACCGCCTGCGCCCCAATCCCCAGCTCCAGGGCCTGGGCGCTCCCAGGGCCCATGAGCCCGGGCGGAGGAAAGCACACAGAATCTCTTATCTAGTCCATCACCTTCCAGCTCATGCAGACGAAAACCGAGCCGCCATGAGCAAGCCACAGCCCGCAAACAGGTCTCCCCTGGACTCCAGGGGCGAATTCAGTTCGTCTTTACAAAGTGAACAAAACCTTACATTTTGGACCTGAAGCTGCCCTGGAAGGGGACACAGAGCCTTGCTTTCTTTGTCCCGCAGTTTTTCTGGAAGGTGCCAACAAGAATTCCACTTGACCCGAGTCCAGGGCACCTCTTCTTCCTTCCCATTCCACCTCTGAAGCCACAGACGGGCGCCAGCGTCCCCTCCGACAGGCCACTTAACGCGTGCTGCCCAGACACAGTGTTTGTGGCCACCAGCCAGGGCCATGCCTGCCCTCTCCACTGGCCCTCCCTCCTGCTCCATGGGACAGTCCAGCTGGGGACACACCACCTGGGTGGGCAGGGCCTGCGGGGGGAGAAAGGAGACGCAGGGCACACATCTCCATGGCAACCAAACACACTGGCCGCCTGGGGAGCATGGAAAGAAAGAAGGGGACTTAACAAACCACAGAAACGCCCACACACTGTGTCCTGGAGCTACTTCTGGGAACAAACACAAAGGAAACAATTCAGCAGCCAGGATGGAGAACCCCCGGGCCTGTCCATGAGACCCCTTCATCTCTGACGCTCTGGCTTGGCTGCAACGTCTCCTTTTATTTTACAGCTGCTAGCCTCGGTACCGAATCGGAGAGCATCAAGAGGGACATTTTCGAAAAGTGCTCCTCAAAACTGATCTTCGGTAGAGACCATAAAACAAGCACAATTCGTGACCTGGTCAGACTTGGCAAACGTCCTGCAATGTGTTAGAATCTTCCACTGTGGTCGCCGGCAAGTCAGAACTTCGCTGAGCTGGTCTCCCGATTTGCTGCTTTTGTCATAATGCAGGTACCAGAGCACAAAGACGCCCACAGGTGGGTGCTGACAGGCACCGCCGCCTGCGAGGGGCACACACAGCATGCACGCACACACCCACACTTCACACCCGTACAGAAGCCTTCAAATCAAAGACCCGAGTCAACGAATTAGGAAGGGCCCCCGCTCACACGAGGGGTAACTGGCTGATTAATCACCTTTTGGCCCCCACCAAATGGGAGAGAACTGACAATGGGCAGATGATGGTAAATCCCTGTGCTTCCCCCACCCCCCAGCTCTTCGGAGACCTCCAACGAGCATTACAAACCAGATGTTATTAGGGATGGCTCTGAGCCACTCAACTTACCACCAAAGTGATCCCTGGTGCTCTATGACCGGTCACCTGACCTTGATGGGCCCTGTGCTGATGGCATGAAACCCTGCTTAGAGGCACCATCCTTTCAGTGGGACCATGGAGGGCCGAGGGCCAGTGTCTCCAGGATGGTGCTCTTCTCTCTCCTCCCTTTCTCGGTCCTCACGATCCTTACCCCCCAACCCCCTCTACACACACTTACTGCAGGCTGCACAGGTGAAGCAGGCGTCGTGGTAGAGGTTCCCCATGGCCTGGCAGGCCTGGCCGGCCCCGAACACCCCTTTGCTGCATTTCACACAGGAGCCTGCAGGGGCAAGAACACACGGGTGAGTCAGGATGGAGTAGTGTAGACTGAGTCATGAAGAGCCACTGAGCAAAGCCAGGCGATCCTCCCTATAAGCAGCACATTACCAAACCCCATGGGTCACTCTTTGAAATGTCTCTCTCCCTCTCCCTCTCTCTCTCCCCCCCCAGTGCTTCCCATGGCAGGGAACGGCTGCCAGTGCGTGTATGCGTGTGCGNATGGGTCACTCCTTTGAAATGTCTCTCTCCCTCTCTCCCCCCCTCAGTGCTTCCCATGGCAGGGAACGGCTGCCAGTGCGTGTATGCGTGTGCGTGTGCACACATGCAGGATGAGACTACTGGGTAGCTGGTATTTCTGTGCCCAGCAAACAGGAAAGTGAATAGAGTGCCCCACTGCTATGAAATGGGAAACGTCAATGAATTCAGAGGCCTCGGCGTTTCTTTTTATCTGATTAATTTCATATACAACTTAGGCTGCTCTTAAGTCAGGAAATACATCAGTTCTGGACACACTTGGAGCTGGGACCATCAGCAGGAAGCTGGAATGAAGACGGCAGGTCCTGTCATGACAGCTCCTCTGAAAGGCTCATTTCATCACTCTAGACACCAGTGGAGCTGGTGGCGGCTGCTGGGACCTGGAGAACGGGACACTGAGCAGGCCGGGCCACTGGGGAGCACGGGGACGTGAAAGCGATCGTGTTGGCGTGCTTGCCACTGGACGAGGCACCTACGGTGCTGTGGCAGGTTCCTGGTCACCGGGGCATCCGCCTGCCTCTGCTTCGGGACAGGGGCCATATGCTGCCTGTGGCCTCTGCAAGTACTTAATGAGCTGCTGAATCGCTTCCTAGCAGCTCTACGTGCAGCCCGGCCCTCTCCCCCTCCCCTCCTTATACCTGGGCACACATGTCCATCCCCCGGCAAGTGCTTTTCACAGAGATTCAGACGCTTATTCATCTCCAAACACCCCCAGCCACTGACAAGGTGCACCTCCAATGCCCTCAACAAACACGTGTAAAAACAAACGGATCACACGGGCATCTGCTGAGCACTGGCTGTGGCATGATTCAATGCAATGACGGGGGACAGTGCTCCTGAAAAAGTGGTATTAATTATACAGTGGGACCTCGGTTTTCAAATGCGATCCGTTCCAGAGACTGAGTTCTGAAACATTTGAAAACCGAGGGATCCACAGCCGAGATCCTGGGCCTCAGGATCTTGCCCTCGGCGGAAGCCGCGGGGCATGTGCGACTTCCGAGGCGTGTTCGAAAACTGAAGCATTTCCTTCCAGGATTACGGCGTTTGTAACCCGAAATGTTCCTCACGGAGACGTTCGAAAACCGAGGTGCCACTGTACTATCTGGTAACTCCGAGGCCTACTTCCAGCCCGCCCCGTCCCAAGTCCCCTGGCTGACCTGACTCTAAACCCTGACACCAAGCAACAGAGGCGGGCTTGTCCGACAGCGACCGAAGCTCACTCAGGCCCGACTGGACGGCGCATCACAGCACCGTGAATATATCTGCTCACCGACGTGCACAGAACCACCCCCAGCGGCAGCACCACTTGGTCCCTGCTGAGCGCGTGGCCCCTTTGCTGAACCTACAATAGGAATGTCACTGCAAGGATGGGAGGAGCCGGGAGGGCCAAGGGCATGGTGGCCCGAGCGCCATCCCCGGCGGAGCGCATCGCATCGCAGGAAGGCAGCCTCCAAGGCAGCTCGCGGGGAGGAAGGCCGCAAGGAAGCTCCGCGGCGGGGAGCCCGTCACCTCCCACTGGAGACCCGAGCTGATCCGGTTTGGGTCTGGGGAGTAAGGTCGGAGCAGCTGTCCCTGTCCTGCTCCAAAAGCCAGTGGCAGGATGGACAGCGTCTTCAAGTGGACACGGACAACGGCAGGCCTCCCGGGCTTCCTGCCCTTTATCTCTCACGTCAGGCCTTCCTCCCCTCCCTGCAGCCAGCGAGCGACACTGTCTTCTGGCTTCCTCTTCATCTGGGGACTGTGACCTACTGACTTCAACCCACCCCACCCCCCACTCCCACAGCTGGTCCCTCTGTCCTTGGGGCCGCTCACATCCTCTGGCCACGCCGACCAGCTCGCACACATACAAAGCAAGGAAGGGCCGTCGGTCACCCCACGAGGAAGATCCCGTACGAAGCCACGTAGGTAGGAAGCTATTTCATCCTTGTGGCCTGTGGCAAACGGACAGAAAAGTACCACGTGGGCAGGAAATAGATTCATTCCTCCTTTGGTAGGAAAAAAAAATCAATCCAAGTCCATTTCATGTTCTAGAAAATATAATGTGCCTACCAGACCCCGGGCTGGGAGTTTCTCCCGGGGAAGGAGCCGCTGCCAACACCCCTTTCTGAAGCCGCTGTAATTGGCTGAGGGTCACACCGCCGATAGGTTCGAGAGATGGAATCTGAGCCCAGGCTCTAACTCAAAGGTCCTGTTATTCCTGTCTGGTTGGCAGATGTGTCTATTCCAGCCCCATACAGGGGCCCGCTGACAAAGAGAGGGCTCCTTCCTCACTCTCTATACACCACCTGCTCAGGGATTCAGACCCAAGACCAGTCCCACCCCAGATCGCCTCCTGACCTCCTAGCCCACCTCTCATTCTGGCCTAACCCACGCACACAGGCCACCTTTCTGCCTGGGGCCGTTGTCAACCACAAGCCGCCCCCCCG